ATCATCATCGTTTATCGTCCTGTCATCTATGGATGTTTCCAAATCAGGTATGTTTTTTTTGTTGATGATATTTCTGGAAAAAAAACAATGACCTCATTAATTTTTTCCAAAAAAAAATCCGGAAAAATTGAATTCAAAAAGAAAGAAAAAAATTTTTGATTGTCACCCAAAATGTCCATTGTTCTGGTTTGTTTTGTGTGTTTGTGAATGTAAAACACTGTGTTTCCTCCCCCACAATTATAATGTGGTTTGAATTTTTTTGATGAAGAGGTGGTGGTTTTTATTATAGTCACTATTATTTTATTAATATAGAGCTCTGCTACAACTAACTTTTCTATAAGGGGTAGGGTGGTCGTCTAATTTTTTTTTCGGTTGGTCAAACGGAAAATAATTTTGTAAATTTTCAGTTTTAGTTAAGAACTTTCTAAAATGAAAAAGATGCGCGCACATATTTATTATAGGATGCTTAATTTTCTTGTTAATCTCATTGTTTTTATGTGTAAATTCATTTTTATTCTGTTAAGAATTTAATTGATTGATCGATTTGTTTTGGTAAAATATCGTTTTTCATTAGATTTTACTGTTGAAAGATTGAAGAAGAAAAAAAAATACGTTGCCCAATTATATTTGCTAAATATCAATCGATTTATTTAGAGGTGCATTTCATTTTATGTGTTTAGTTTTTATTTTGTAAATGTATAAATTGCGTTTTTCTTTTTTTTTCGCACTACTCTACGCTCACCTTATTTTGCATGTCAATTTTTTTAGTCATTTCGGTTGTGAAATGGTGGTAATTTTATCATCATCATCATTATTATTATGGGTTTGTCATGTCAAACTAAAAATGTATATTCGTTGTTGTTTGTTGTTTTATGATAATTATGTTGATGATGATGATGATAAATATTGTCTGTATGGAGAAAAAAAAAGATAATGTCAAATACCGGTCACGCAAAAATTTATCCAATGTTTCTTTTTCAATCATATGAAATAAAGAGTTTATTGTTGTTGTTGTTGTTGATCATATACAGGGTGTTTTAGAAAACCAAGTTTTCATCAAAAAATTATGATGATGCAGGATATATGGGATATATTTCCGAAATAAAAACCTTGTTTTTGACCATTTTATGTTTAAATAGTTTTCATTTATGTTTGTCCGTGTTGAAATAGGCGGTGGCTATCGGATATTGGCTACTGTGTGTATGTTCGTGTGAGTATTTAAATGTGACTTTATGTTAGGCATCATTTTCCTTTCAATTTTTCGTTATTTATTTTCTGTTGTTATGAAAATAAATAGGTCTCTAATTTTCTCAATAAAAAAAAAGACAGAGCCAAAGAGACCATCTGCTATAATGGTGTAGTTTTGATGATGATGATGTGGTGGTGGTGGTGGTGGATGGATGGAATAAAACATGACCATATTTTTCGATTGAAGATAGAGATAGAGAAAGATATGTGGAGCGAATGAAACTCATAAACTTTATTTCAAATGTGAAAAGACAACAACAACAGCAGTGATGAAGAGAAAAATTTGACAAATTCAGTCTGTTGAATAATAATGGTTTTTTTCCTGTAGATATTTTTTTTTTGGTCAAAAAAAAAAATAGACACGAGGACAACCTCGCTAACACACATACAAAACAGATGTAAATTGAATATCATTAAAGTGTGGTGGTCTATATGTAATTTGTGTTTCGATCGATCGATCGATTGATCTAAAGAGAGTGAAAGAGAAACACGTGCCATTCACAAAAAAAAAGAAATTTTTAGAATGGCCGTCATGTGTAGGTGTGTCATTATAATTGATACTTTGTTTAAAAGAAATTTTCCAGAAAAAAAATTGATTGAATTTGATAATTCCTGGGAAATTTTTTCCAAAATTTTCATTTTAAAGAGAATTTATTATTTTGAATAAATCATATTTTTCTTTAGAAAGTGTGTGTGTCTGTGTCTGTGAATGAATATAAGATGTCGGAATAGAGAATCCTCTATCACACATAAAGGAAAAAGTCAAATGGAAAATGGTAAAAATCAATTCGATCAAAGACGAGTCCATCTGATTATATTAACAACAACAACAACAGTGATACAAAATCATATATATAACATATACTAAACCAAACCAACCAAAAAAATATATTCAGCATTTTTTTTTTTTGGTTGGGTAATGTCATCCTCTTATTACACTGTATATTTACATTCTCAAATGACAAAAAAAAATTTTCTTACATTTGAGAATGTGTCTTGCACTCTCTATCTGTTATTTGTCGGTAGTGGTTGGAGGAATATATAGACAGAGAGCGATAATGATTTTTATTTCCAATTTTTTTTCGTTTGTTTGATTAAATAATCATCATTTTGAAAGTTTTTTTTTCTTGAGAATTTGAAGAAAGATTTAATTTTTTCTTTCTCGTTTTCTAATTAGTCAATTTTGAATAGTAATATAAAGTTGTCTTATTGTTGATGATGATGGTGGCGAAATTCTTTATTTGGAAAAAAATAATTTTTTTTTATCGAATTCCACTTCGTAGATTTTACTTTTTTTTTGGGATGGTTGGTTGATTTTGTTTTTTTTTCTTTGTTCGATCTGTTTTTGTTTGTTTGTTTGTCTATATAATGATGATGATGATGCAGTCGAATGATGAAAAAAAATATAGCGAAAAAAATTTTCTGATTCTGATTCTGTGATCTAAGAGAGAGAGAAAGGGAGAAAGAATACTGAATAAGAAACAGATGAAAAGCAAATGAAATAGAATTTGGATAATGAAAATGTGAGAATTTATGGTTGTTTAATGTTTTTTTTTTGTTGTTGTTGGCTGGTTTGGGGTGTTTTGTTGCTGGTTGGTTGGTTGGTTGGTTAGTTTAGTTGGCCAAGATTCTCTATTTTCGAAATATATCTCGTATGCGAGTGACAATAACAACAACAAAGATATAGCAAAAATTACATAAGTCAAGAGTGCTGTTGTTGTTGTATTTCGGGTTTATGTTTTTCCCTTATTTTTTTTTTTGATGATCTCCTTAGTTAGTAATGTTTGTTTGTTTGTGTGTTTAGTTGACAATCGAATCTTTATATTTTTCTCTTTGATATTTTTATTTTTGGAACCAAGTAGAAACAAAAAGTTTCAAAATGAATAAAAGTGAGTGAAGAAAATTTTTGCTGGGAAAAAAACAAGACAAATCGATTCAACAGCAGCAGTGAATCAAAGCTTAAAAAACTTTGAATTCCCAAAGTTGGATTAATTGTAGTGGGAGTAGGTGTGTTTGTGGGCGTTTGTCTAATTAGTTTTAGTGCAAACATTTTGAAGGTTAAAATAATGGTCCATTTTTAGAATATTGGGTTTATACGAATCAAGTAAATCATCATTATCCTTTTTGATTATCTTGATTTTAATTACAAAATGAAAATTTTGTTTCCAGGAAAATTGTTATTTGCCAAAGTTAATTACATTTAATCTACTTTTTAAAAAAATATTGATTTGTTTTTTTTTCGTGTGAAGATTGTGAACGTTTTTTTTTCGTTAAATAATGCTATGTAAACATCCTCCATTTTTTTAAAACAACATTTTCTTGTTGTTGTTGTTGTTAAGCAAATTGTCACTTTACACTTTTCGGTTGTTGTTGTTGTTTGCTTTTTTTTTGGTTGAATCCATTTTCCATAGAAATTCCTATTGGCTGATTAATTTTATTTCGCTCATCATCATCATCATCATCACTTATCTTGTTTTTCATTTTTTTTTCTCATCACATTGATTCATTCCGCTAGTCATTCTTAACGAAAAAAAAATCATTTTCTCCCCCCCACCTCTACAATCAACTTCAATGGTCCATAGAAAATGTTGAAGAAAATACCAACCACATAAAATACACACGAACATAAAAATGGCCAGCAAAAAATGAAAAAAAAGAAAATTATAAGAAAATTATTGACCTCCTGCTGCAGAATAGCACAGACATTTAGGAAATATACCGGGATTCAATAAGTCAACGAAGAAATTTATTGATTTGAATGCGAAAAAAAAACATTTACTTTTTTTTTATCTTTCTATGTGCGATAGTATGCTATAATTACCATACATACACACAGTGCAGCAATATTTTATGGTTGAAAATATTGATTTCTTTGATTTTTTTTTTTTTTTGGTAAAAAGTTTTTTAAAGAATTCAAGTGATGAGATAATAAAAACATTTAAGTAGCTTATGATGATGATAATGATAATGATTTTTGTGTGTGTGTGTGTGTTTGGGGTGTAAATAGTTTCTTGTTTTTATTCATCATCTTCGTTTTTTTTGATGATAACAAATCTTTATGTGTAAATGAAATTGAATAAATCTTGATTATCATTCTTGATTTTGTTGTTGTTGTTGTTGTTGGTATTTGAGAGATAATCTTTAATATTGATCGATTCATTTAGGGTTGTCATTTTTATTTTTGGTGGTGGTGGTGGTGGAATGACATGCGCATCAATTTTTTTTTCTCGCTTTCGTTCATTGTTGTTCCAAATGGAACGATAAATGTTCCATATTAGGCAAGCATATTCCAGTTTTTTTTTTACTTTCAACATTTATATTATTGTTGTTGTTGCTGGGTATAATGAAGAAAAAATTTGATCATTTAGATAGAAAAAAAACAACAACAATGATGTGATGCAAAACTTTTTTCTAGAAAGTTTCTGTTTTAGATCATCATCATCATCATCATCATCAATTGAACGGGCAATGATGATGGTGGTGGTAATTTGGATTGATGAAACTTTTTTTGTTGTATACTTTAGTTTGGATGTTAGTTTTAGACTTGAAATTTGATTTCTGGATACCAACAAAAAAAAAGACATTTAAAGTTTTTATACAGGCTATAATTATTTTTTTTCGAGATTAATCGATGGAAACTTTTTTTTCAATTGTAGACTTTTTTTGGGATTGAAATTTTTCATTTTGTAAATTTTTTTCTTTTCGTGGATAAATTGATTTTAATAACGTTTTTTTTCTGTTTTTGTTTGTCAGATATCGATTTTGATTCATATTGGGATGAAGAGGCCCGTAATCCAAATCGTAATCGTATTCGTATTGGTCGCCAATATCAAGCACAATGTCCATTGCTTTTAAAATCAGGTTTGTTATTCAATATTCAAATTTCTTGGTTATTTTGTCATTATTGAAAATTTGGTTTTTTTTAACATTTGGGAAAAAATCAGGTGAAAATGATGGTCGTAAACTTGAAGAATTGGAAACATTAACATGGAATCCACATAATCAATTGGATCAAAATCAATTAAATCAATATTTTGCTGTTGCAAAATCAATTGGTTTATTTATACAGGCAATCGATACCTGTCAATCGGGTATCGATGATAATGAATGTTTATCAGAGGAAAAATGTTTATTAAGTCCATTCGAAATATTGGATAATGGAACTAAATGTGTTCTGGAACCGAATAAACAACCGGAACGTAATATAACAACAACAACAACTACATCTGTTACTTCTACTATTACTACAGTCAATACAAATAGCAATAGTGGTACAACTAGTGGAAGTTGTAATTTAAATAATTCTACAACATCCGGTAGTAGTGGTCAACATCCAAATCCAAATCCAATGATAAATAATGTGATAGCAACAAGTCCAGAATCTAAACAAAGTGTTACAACAAGACAAAGATTACACAAAGAAGTTCAACAATTGCAACAACAATTAACAAATGAATCTGATTCGACGACAGCAACAACAACGGATACGACTATATCAACAACAACAACATTACCATCATCATCATCATCATCATCATCTAGTTTACAATCATCATCAGTGAATACGAGGATACAAAATATTGCCAAGGGTTTGGTAAGTAAAGTATATTTTCTTGTTAAAATAAAATAACTTTTCATTTTATTTTATTGTTTAGCCTGCATTCATTTTATCACATCATCAAAATGGAGTGACTAGTCAGTGTAAATTGGCATCCACATTGAATAAATTAAATTCGAATGGTAGCGATTCTTCGGCTACAGCTTTGGAACAACCAACAACAGCCATTAATTTAGGTTCGACTGAACGTTATTCAACAAAAACATTGGCCAAATTATTATTAGGACGTTGGAATGATCTTGAAGCAAAAGTTTTTAATCAAGCTATTAAAGAATGTGGTAAAAATTTTAGTGCAATCAAAAAAGATTATCTACCATGGAAATCTGTACGATCAATAATTGAATTTTATTATCTATCATTGGATAAACAACGACAACAACAAAAACATAATAATAATAATCGTCAACATAGTCATCATAATCATAATAAAATGAATCGTGATCATCGATCTGATAATAATGGTGATGGTAAAGATGGTGATGATCAAAATAATAACAGTAACAGTAATAACAACAACAATAATAATAATGGCAATAATACGACAAGTGGAAAGCAATCATCACCGGAAAAGAAAACAACACAACGTCAAAAATCAGGTCATCATCATCATAGAAATAAACATTCAAAACAAATGGATGATAATGATGAAGAAGATTATAATGGTGATGATGATGATGAAATAAATTCAGAATCGATTAATGAAAAGAATTTTGTTGATAATAATGGCAATGATGATGATGTTGATGATATTGAAGAACAAACATTGCGTGAAGAACTTTTATCATTAGCCAAAGGTGTAATGGCAAAAAGTGGTGAAAATAGTAATGGTGGTAGCAGTAGTGGTAATATTGGTAATTCTAATGACATAACAATCGATACTAATCTAAATGATGATTGTCCATTTACACCATCATCACCATTAATTAATAATAAATTGATTAATAATAATTTATTGGGTGGAAATGGTAATAATAATCTAATGAATGGTGTTGGTGGTCCACTATTTTTATCATCATCATCACCTGACAATCGTATTTTACCTGGCCAAGAAATTCGCCCTATCAAAGCTAAACCATTGCAATCATTTTTTAATACAACAACAACAACAAATGAATCATTTATATCAAATGAAAATGGTTCATTAGATAATAATAATAATAAGGATAATAGTAAAACAAATCTTGGTTCATTGAATCTATATCTACGTGGTGAATTAGTTGTACGTTTAAATGCACAACAACAAGAATCTGGTCAAAAATGGGTTGAATTAATGGCCGTATCACCATCAAGACGTAAACATGGAATAATGGGTAATGGTTTTCCATTACAAACTGGTACTGGTAGTACTTCTGGTCATTCAACTAATCGTTTAGGAATAAAACGTTCATATCGTGAAGATCCATCTGATGATCATTCATCAATTGGTGGTGGTGATATAACCGGTAGTGATGATGATGCTGATTCAATAACATCGAATGAAAGTTCTAGTTTAGTTGCATCATCACCATCATCATCATCGACAACAACATTAGGAGGATCATCATCGAATCATTCAACAACAAATTCAACGAATATAACAACATCGACGAATAAAAAAGCACGTGTAAAACCATTGGATAATAATAATGCAACAACTCGCTCGATCTCATCACCAAATTCATCATCATCCACCTCATCATCATCGAATAATGGACGTAATAGAAATAATGATCATCAACAGCAGAATGGTACGATAACGAAACAATCATCATCATCATCATCATCATTATCATCGATTTCGAATCAACCAAATATTGATTTAATGATGTCGGAATTAGATATTAAGAAAAAATTATTTGAATATTATCAATTAACCGGTATGAATAATGATGAAATGCAAATGTTATTAGCTGCATCGATGATGTTTCAACAACAACAACAACAACAACAGCAGCAGCAACAACAAATTGAACCACCAAAAGCACATTCAAATTCCAACAATAACAACAATAATTCTTCATCAACAACCACACCGACGCCAATACCAGCAGCAAAAACAACAGCAGCAGCCAATACGAATTTTGATGAATATTCTTCACCAATCAAAAGTAAATCTACAAAAATAAATGGTAGTAATACGATGATGAATGGATCATTACAGAATAATTGTCCAGTTGATTTAACACGTAAACCATCACCATCGATTTCGAATAAATATCATTCGAATCAGGAAAATAATCGTAATAATCATCATCGATCACAATCGCCTAAAATTAAACAAAAATCGATAAATTCTTCTAGTAGTAGTCATAGGAATCATGGATCATCACCACGTAATCATCATCATCAGCAACAACAACAACGATCATCAGTTTCTCCATCATCTACATCCTCATCATCAGCTGTATCATTAGCAATGGCATTAGCTGCTGCTGCAGCTGCTGCTTCGAATAATAATAATGGAAATAATCCATTTTCATTACCAGCACCACCACCAATTTCTCCATCACCACGACAACAACAATCATCGCCATCATCAAAATCATCATCATCAATGAATCGAACGAAAATTCGTAATGCTGCCACCATCAACAACAACAATACCACCGCTTCAATCGATTCAAATCAGATGGCCAAATAATTTCCAGGAAAAAAAATTTGGCGATAATTATAATTATTATCATTTGGCATCGATATTTGGTTTTTTTTCTCGATTTTTCCACGAACTTATTATTATTCATCATATCTTTGCCAATTTCTTTTTCTTTTTTTGAAAAAAAATTACTTACTTGATTCCTTTTTTCTTCTTCTTCTTCTAATTTCTTATTCCTATTTGTATCTTCTGGCTTATTTCCTATTTTTTTCCAAGAATTTTAATATGTATCATGAGTGATTTACATATGTTTGATAAATTTTCATTTATCAATATTTTATCCAGATTGATGTTGATTGATCATATAATAATGATAATAATGAGCCTTTTTTGAAGCATATGAATACTCACATAACGATAAGCATTATTATAAATATGAAAAAACAAAATGAGTAAAAATAAAATTGAATTTAAAATCCTGTTCATTTCTTCATACATCTTTGTCGTCAAACAATCACTGTATATTGAGAAACAAACAAATTTCATTGATTATTGATGATGATGATAATCAGCATCATTGGTCAATAATAAAATTTTTCGATAATCATGCTGTTTCACATCAACGGAAAAAAATTAATAATTAATTTTTTTCTGATTTTTTTCTTTGATTTCGTTGTTTGTTTTGATGTTTTTATCATCAACATCGAGCTTGATTTTTGTGTAGTTTCAACATAAACAAAATCAAATTGTTGTTTTGTGGCAATATCTTTTCACTGTTATTATTCAATTTGATTTCGAAAAAAATAGTTACTGGATGTTGTCAATTTGGAATGTTTAATGGCAAAAAAAAAATATAGCTAACGATGATGACATTGAATGAATTATTGATGTTCATCATTTTGTGGCCATCGATGAAAACGCGAATAAATTGCTAATGCAAATTATCAATCACAAATAATGATGTTAGCTTTTTTTTGATTGCTGATTTTTCCCCCATCCAAACAAATCAAAACAAAAACAAAACAAGAAATATTCGGGTAAAGCAAATTATTATTATTATTAGGGGGATAAAACAACCGGAAGGAATGATATTCGAACCAAAAAAATCGAACAAAAAATTTTTTTTCACAAACGTACTATATGAATTTGTCGCCATTTCATATATTTTATTTGTATAGCGGCTTTTGATTGAATCCATACACATGTGCGTTTACAACTTCCTCGATTTTTTTTTGTCATTTATCTATGCCACTACTACTATACAAGAAAAAAAATTAACGAGAAAAAAAAAGGATGGTTGACAATATTTCTTTGTTAATTTATTTCGCCCTCTTTTATTTTCACTCTTTTTTTTTCCCATCGTGTTAATGATAAGAATCAATTTCATTAGTAGTGGTAGTAGTGGCTGTTTTTAATCATCAATCCAAATTATCCTGTCATTTTTTAAAACTACTACCATTTTTGATTGCTGTAACTTTTATCCAAACCACTACTATAACTAAGGCTATATATTTTTTTTTTACAATTAATATATCAACTGAAATTGAGGGTGAGGGTGAGTAAAGTGAGTGAGATGTGAAGACCGAAAAACGAAAGAATCGATAGATTTTTTTTTTTTATTGTCTTTTGTTTTTTTGTTGTTGTTGTTGTTTGTGTATGAACTGGAGGTTTTTTTCAGTTGATCATCATCATCATCAGGAGAAAAATCAAGATACCACCTCTTCCTATGGTTGTTTTTTTCTATCCTCTTTCATTTTATCATCAATGAAACGTTGTTTGCTGCTCAACAACATCGACATCTAATCAGATTAAAAATCACATCACATTACAACAACAAGAAGAATCTTATCGTGTTTGTTCGATGCTGGTGTTATTCGTTTGTTGGCTGTCAATTTTATTCCAAAGTTACAAAAAAAACAACAAATTAAAATACGGATGGAATTTTAAAGAATCCGAAAAGAAATTCTGTTGAACATTGGCTCATCGATAAGGGAAAATAATTTTTTTTTCGCCGGTCCAAAAATCCAATGTCCATGCTGTGTAATTATTTCAACGAATTTTTTTCGATTCATTCAAAATTATAGACTTGTGTGTTTGGGTCATGTGTTTTGTGTTTTGTGTCAAATGATATAATTGATACCTGGCTAAAAATAAAAGGTCAAAAGATACATGTGCTTTTTTTCATCAAACAAATTGTTGAATGAATGAATCTACGTTGATCAACGTTTTTTGATAACGGTACTCATTTTTTTCTCTGATTTTCCCTGATTGGTTTGATTATAATTTTTCAATGTTTTTCTTTTCTTCTAATCCAAAAGAAAGGGAAGGATTCTGTAAATTATTTTATTGATTAGAATTTTTTTTGAATTGAAAAAAAAGAAAGATTGGAATCAGCGAAAATGGCCACAGCTTTGACAAGTAATTATTTAACCAACAATTCATCATCATCACCATCAAATCAATCGACAAATTCATCATATCCAAATCAATCATCATCATCGCCTGCAAATGGTTATCAACAACAACAACAACAAAATGTCCAAAATTTTAGTAATTCTACATTAAATAATAATAATTCGACAACGATAACATCGAATATTGGTCATCAACAACAACAACAACATCATCATCATCATCATCAGCAACAACATTCATCACAAATTAATCATTTATCATCATCAACATCATCGTCATCATCATCACCGAATCTTTATCGAGTTGGAGGTAAGAATCGATTTTTTTTGCAAAATTGAATGAGAAAAAAACAACAGAAAGAATTCCAAGATTCATGGCTATGGCTGTGTATAATATAGCCAAACAAAAAAAAAAGACAACGGCGAGCTATATTATAATAAGCCGCCATTACTCTAATTAGTGAGAATAATAAATTTTTCTAGTTTTTGTTTCGCATTTGGTGAAGGGAGAGGGAGATGAATATAGAGAGAGATAGAGAGAGAGAGAGAGCAAGAGTCAACACTATTATGTTTAGCTCATACTCGCACAACCAATATTGGGCTCAAACAAAACCAAAAATCAACCAACCGAATGACTAACTAAAAATCCAAAAAAAAACATCATTATAATTTAATGATTTTTGTTGTTGATTCTATAATGAAATAGGGATAAATATTGTAAAAAAAAAGAAAGGATTTTAATGGAAATTGTTAAAATTTAATAAATTCTTAAGAATTTTAGATTTTTTTTGGGAAAAATTCCGGGAAATTGTCTTATATATTCTTACAAGGTTGTTTGTTTGACATTTTTTTTTTAAAAAGAATAAAAATTATAGTACAAAATTACCGATTTATAAAAGTCGGGAATTTTCAATTTTTGGAAATATATTTTTAATTTGAAATTTTTTTTAACAAGACTATGTCTACATCGAGATTACGCCTTCAACACCGTATCAGGTTTGTAAGATTGAAGAATTGATAAAAGTAAGTGTATATAGCGTTGTTTTATCGGATTCAATATATAATGGAATTTATTATTTATAGAATCAAAATGGAAATCCTGAAGTAAAATTGGTCATATTTTATCGTCGTCGTGACATGTCTGGATCATTATTTCAACAGATTGAAAAACATCAAATAAGTGAGTTGTTTGATTCATTTTTTTTTGAATCATCATAAATGAATGTTGAAAAAATTATAGGTGCCTTAGAAGAGGAACAGGAAAAAGAATATGAACAATTAAGTGAAAAGGAAAAACATCAGATAAAATTAAGAGAAATATTTCTATCAAGACAATTGGAAACATATCCGGTTAGCAGTATTCGTGGAAAATGTCAAGTAACATTATTGAATGAAGCTGAATCGTTAACACATTATCTGAAAAGAGATGATACATTTTTCTATACACAAGTCTATGATCCGGAACAGAAAACATTATCCGAAGCTGATCGTGGTGAAATTCGTGTTGGTCAAAGATATCAAGCGGATGTACCGGCACAAACATTAGATGATCCAATTGTACAGGATCAACGTCGTTTGGAAGATTTGGAAACATTAATTTATTCACCTGAAAATGAATTGAATGAACAACAAATTGAACAATATTTAACTGTAGCCAAATCAATTGGTACATATGCACGTGCATTAGATTGTTCGGGTAGTGTTAAACAGCCAAGTTTATTGATGAGTGCTGCATCAGCATCACGTGATGTTACCATACAATATGCAATGGATATATTACATGAATGTAATTATGATATTGCTAAAGCTGTATGTCGTCTAGTCCCAAAAAGTGGACCAGTTCTTTGTCGTGATGAAATGGAAGAATGGTCTACGGCCGAAACAAGTCTATTCGATGAAGCTATCGATAAATTTGAAAAAAGGTTTGATGAAATACAGCAAAATTTTGTAAGTATTAGCAAATTGATTTGAGATTTGATTTTTTCTGATTGAAATATTTCCTTTTTTTCGTTCTTTCTTCGGTAAAGTTACCTTGGAAAAGTATGAAAAATTTGATTGAATATTTTTATTTTTGGAAAACAACCGATCGTTATGTACAACGTAAACGTGTAAAAGCGGCCGAAAATGAAAGTAAATTGAAACAGGTTTTCGTACCAAATTTGTAAGTATAATCTGAAAAGATTTCTGAAAAGATATGAAATTCTTTCTATTCTCATAAAACAGTAATAAACAAAATCAATCATCATCATCAGCATCGTCATCGTTGTTGAATGGTCTGAATGATTCTAATGTGAATAAACAATGTGAAAGTTGCAAAAGTAAGTTGAAAATTTGAAATTTTTGATTTTGAAAAAAAATAATGACAATTTTTTTACTTCATATCAGAAACATCATCAAGTAATTGGCATGTTTGGGGACCGACAAATCTGCAATATTTTCTTTGTCAAACATGTTGGTCATTTTGGCGAAAATTTGGTGCATTTAAATATCCAAATCGTTTGGCTGGTATGTTTTCCATTTTTAATGAATTTTCTAGGAATTACATTATTGTTGTTGTTCAATTTGTGTTTATGTAGATATGACTGCTGAAAAGTTACAAGTGTCTTCTAATCTTCCAATAGCTGCATCATCAACATCAACATCATCATCATTAGCAGCAACAGTTAACAATCAATCAATTAATAATAATAATAATAATAATAATAATAATAATATTGCAAGAGCCTCACCAATCATTACTGATCTCAATTCACCATATTCTTGTCGTGAATGTAATAAAGTTTTTACTAGACAAGGTAAGTTTTATTTGATTAATAAGTGATTTTGAAAATTTGATTTGATTTTTTTATTGTTATAGAACGCCTTATTTCTCATCTGGCATCACATCGACAACTACATAAATGTAATGTTACATCATGTGGTAAAGAATTTAAATTTAAAGCACATTTAGCACGACATTGCGCCACTAGTCATGGTGTTGCGATACGTTCGGGCAGTCCGCGACCAATTATGAAAACACGTGCAGCATTCATATTCAAAGTGGTACCATCATTACGTATGGCTCGAACTATTTGTGCTGATATTCTTAATCTAAAACGTGCAGCACGTAAACCATATTCATTGAATATTCCATTATTCAAACATGAATGTATGTGATTTTTTGTTTGTTTGTATACAAATTTTATTTATAATTTTTTTAAATAGATACTGAACGTTATCAAAAAGGTTTCAACAAACATACACCTAAACTAAAAAAGATTGATCGTGGAAATGTGTGCGATATATCACATCGATTAGGTACACCTAAAATGCCTAAACCTGAATGGTTGATTGCATTACCTAAGGATAAATTACCACAACCAAAACGATTAGCATTTCCACCAACAATAAAATCTGAAGGTGAATTTTCAATTATTAAATTTGTTTTGATTAATTAAAATTTATCTTTTTTTAGAATTTGAACCCGAAGATATGAGCGATTCGAACAAAGATTCATGTGGTAACAACAACAACGATATTGGTGGTGGCAGCGGTTTGGGAAAGAAACGTTCACTTGAACAAAATGGTAACATAAAATGAAATTAGATTTTTCAATTTTTGTAATTTGTTTTTTTTCCATAAAGGAAATTTTATGCCATCAAAACGACGTCAAATGGCACCACCAAGTATTTTGGGGAAATCTGTACCCGATCTATATGAAAACATATCACGAAATTCGGTTACAGCTCAATCATTGAATGGACGGGCCAAAATTGCGACAATAACTAATCTGAGTGGTAAAAAACAGATGATCAGTTGGGTTGATGCACCCGAAGATGTATATTTTGTATCAACGAAAAAAATCAAGTAAGTACATTAAAAATTAAATTCATCTATAAATTATTTAATAATTATCATGTCCAAAACATAGACAAATGAGACGAAAAATTCCATTATCTGAATTACTTCGTTCTGCCCGACAACCATATAAACTTCATTCAGAATATTTATCATCATTGATATCATCATCGACAGCAACATCGACTGCTTCAGGTGGTGGTCAATCATCTCAAGTGATACCAAATCCTATTGGATCATCATCATCATCATCATCTACTTTACGTTCAGGTGATAATAGTGGTGCTGGTGGTGGTCGTAGTCATCATCAATCATCAGCAGCAGCAGAAATGATTCCATCATCAACGACGAATCTAAATTTGATGCATAATAATCCAGCTGCTGCTGCTGCAGCAGCAGCCGCAGCATTAAATCTTGCTGGAATCGGCCCACTTTCTTCATCATCATCACCATCATCTCAACAGATGGCCGCATTATTACAACAACAAATGTTGGCACAGAATCTACCACTATTAGGTGCAGCAGCCAATGCTAATCATCTATTATCACCGAATGCATTTTTCAATAATATTTCACCAACAAACGGTGGTAATTCCAGTGGAGGTGGTAAAATGAATCGTTAACCATCATTATCATTATCAATCTGATAATTTCAATACGAAAAGAGCAGCCGTAACAAAAAGATTGTTTTTCTTTTCATTTTTGTTTCGTTGTGATATTTTCTCCGCTATTTTTTTCAAAAAAAAATTATTCAAATTTTTGTTCTGTTTCCTTTTTGGAGAAAATCCAATAAATACACCATGGATTGATTCTGCCCAAACACAATGAGAGATCAAAATCAAGCAACGAATGATTATTTTTAAAAAAATCTTTTTTTTTCATGATCAAAATTTACATATAAAAAAAACATTTATATAGGAAAACCGCTTATATACGATTCTTGATTTGAAATAATTTATATTCTTACACATACACACAAACACCCCCATCACTGGATACAAAATTAAAAAAAAATATTTAAAATCTAAATTCCAACATTGATTTCAACACCCCTTGATTTTTTTCCCTCGACACTATGCATTTGTAAAATATTTATAGTTTATATTATTATTATTTTTTCTTATTCTTTATCGATCCACACCAAAATACAACACACACCTATCCCATCATTTCTCGTCGTTGTTGTTGTATGATCCATTAAAAACATGACAGGAATTTTTTTTTTAAATTAATTTGATGCTCATTAATTACAAAATATTGAATATTCATTAATTGATTGATTGATTGATGATTTTAAAGCGGGAAAAAACATTGTTTTTTTTGCAAAGTTTTTCGGTGTTTTTTTTTTTTGTTATAGCCGTGGGAATAAGCGTTGCATTGATACACACCAAGTGTCTGTGAAAATCTGTTTCGTTGTTTGTTTGTGATCTAGACGACTACGACAACAACGACGAAAAGAATGTCTGTCTCATTATTTGAAAATGATTTTTGTATCCTGGATACAGATTTTATTGTTGTTGTCGTTTTCTTCAAGAAGTTTGGCCAAAATTATGTCAAAGAAGCAAAAAAAAAGTGAATTCCAATGCTAATGATATATCCGGTTTCGAATGAAATGAAAGATCGTTTGATTTTTTTTGACTATTGATGATGATGATTTTATCAATCAATCGATCAATCGATCGATCAAAATTGTTCGTTATAGTTTTTGTCCAAAAAATTTGATCGTTTATTTTGTGTTATGGTTTACCCTCCTCGCTATTTGAACTTTGTTTAATCAATAATCAAAAAATTTTTTTCTCACTATTTTTTTATTTGTTTGTTTGTTTTTTGATCAATCAATATTTGATTTTAGGATAATTGGACAAATATTCATTTCATATTTCGATTGATAATCCACCACCAACAAAAATTTGATGATAATTTTCAATTTTTTTTCATATAGAGTTTTTTTCCCCCAAAGATTCAGTTTGTCTTCACAAGGTCACCATCGCAACCAATCATCAGCCAACCAATCATCATCATGACCAAATGGATGATAGAAGCAAATAAAACAACTGAGAAAATCAAAAGACTGAAAGAAAAGAAAAGTCAATGTTTAAATTGATTGAATGATCATTTGTTATGAAGAAATGGATCGAATCAAATCAAAATGGTCAACATCGAAATGGTCGATAATAAAAACTTTTATACGTTTCTTAATATTGATTTTGATTTCAATAAATTCATGTCGATCAATAACGATTGATGAATTATATCCATTTGGTGAATCAGTTGATGAATCATTGAATAAAGAAGCCGATACATTTGTTGAAATTAATCTATCAATACCGATTGCTTATTATCAGAATTTATTTCCATCAATTTTTGTCAATGATAATGGTTTGGTATCATTTCTTAAAGAAATACCAATATTTTATAATGCACAATTTCCATTACAATATCCATTCATTGCTGTTTTGTATTCGAATGTTGATATTCGTAATCGTGGTTCGGTTTATTATCGTGAAACAAAAGAATCATCATTATTAGATCGTTCAACCAATGATGTTCAACGTTATTTTAATGATGGAAAAAATTTTCGTACACAAAGTTTATTCATAACAACATGGGATAATGTTGGAAGATTTGAAAAACTTTCCGATCTTGTAAGTAGAAAAAAAATAAAGAAATTTAAATTTGAAATGTCGTATGCAATTTATTTTTCATTTCCAAAAAAAAATCCAAAGGGAAATACTGTTCAATTGGTAATAGCATCTAATGGCACGGATAGTTATGCATTTATAATGTATCCTGAAGATGGTATCCAATGGTTAACCGGTCATGATAATATTGAATATCTACAACATGCAATGACACAAGTTGGTTTTATGTCAAACGAAGGACGTTATTATATAATGCCTGGATCCGGTACTGAACAGGTGAAAAATTTTCCAAGGTAAATGGTGTTTGGTGTGTTTGTTTTCATTTTAATTGACAAAAAAAAAATCTAAAATTTTGAATTTAAAAATCAAATAGAATGTCAAACATAAATCGTCGTGGAATTTTTGCCTATCATATTGGTAATACTGGATATGGAAATATTATACAACCAGATCATGATTATGAAAATTCATTAGAATTAAATGAATTAGAAACATGTACAAATACACGATTTCCATGTATACCATCAGCCGAATGTATTGAATTTTCAACAGGTATTTGTTGTCGTTGTCGATCCGGTTATTATGGTAATGGACGAAGTTGTTTACCTGAAAGTAAGTGTTTTTGTTTGTTTGTTTGTTAATTGAAAAAAAATATTCTAATTCGAAAATTTCGCGTAAAAAAAGATAAAAATATTCAGATTAATGGAAAAATAAGTGGTGAAATTAACAATGTTAAATTGGGTGATTCAAATATGATACATTTTTATGTAGAAACAAAAGATGGTCGTGTTTATTCAAGTGTTAATTCAATATTGGCCGATCTTGGTTATGATTTACAATCATTATTGATTGCATTAGGACAGATTGTTGGTTGGTTATTTGCAATTCGTATGGATAATACACCGAATGGTTATACATTAACAGGCGGTATATTTAATCGTAGTGTTGATGTTGTATTTCAACAAACTGGACATCATGCAATTATACGTGAACAATATCTTGGATTAGATGTATTCAATGTATTGGGTGTTAAAGTTGATGTACGTGGTTCATTACCAACAATACCCAGTGGTACATCATTACATATGGATAATTATCAGCTAGAATTTACTAAAGTTTCACCTGGTGTATTAAAATCACGTATGACTGTATCATTTAATTATGGACCAAATACATTAGATATGCCAATGACAATCGATCAAACTATAACATTTGATGAATGTGTTAATGAACCAAAATTTAATGATCAACAACAACAACAAATAAGTCGATTGAATATTATACGTAATCATATTGATTATGATCAAGAAAATCAAGCTGCACGTTATGCATTTTATGAATCACGTATATCACAATTATCCGAACAGAATCCATGTTCCGCAATACAATGTGGCCAATATAGTACTTGTATTGTTGAAGGTAATGATTATCGTTGTATTTGTAATCGTGGTTTCGAACAAATTTATCAGGAAAATGATTCGATCGATAATAAACGACCAACGTGTGTTGGTAAGTTTTGTTATTTTTAATGAGAAAAAAAATGATGATGATTTCTAAATTCTTTCTTATTTGTTTGTTTAGATATTGATGAATGTCATACTCGTACTAGAGTATGTGATATGAATGCAATATGTATGAATGAATTGGGAAGTTTTCGTTGTCAATGTCTTGATGGTTATGTTGGTGATGGTTTTCAATGTCGTCCATATGATTTTCCCGTTGAAAATGAATGTAATAATATTCAATGTGGACCAAATTCTGAATGTTTACCAACAAAAAATCTTGGACCAAGATGCATTTGTAAAGATGGTTATTATGGTGATGGTATTGATTGTGAACCATTACGTAATGATATTGAAGATTGTCGTTCATTGAATATATGCGATATGAATGCAGAATGTAAAGCAAATCGTTTACTTGGCCGTTATATGTGTATTTGTAAAGCTGGTTATCGTGGTGATGGTATTGTTTGTACTGAAGAATCAGAATCATGTGAAAAATTAAATAATTGTGGAATGAATGCTGAATGTATATCGGATGAACAAAGTAATTTTAATTATTATTGTTCATGTAATGAAGGCTATGTTGGTGATGGTTATACATGTATTGCCGAAATTAATTCCGATGATTGTAATATGTTAAATAATTGTCATCGTAATGCTATCTGTACATTGGATTTAGAAATGAAAACCTATCAATGTCAATGTAAATCTGGTTTCACTGGTGATGGTTATAAATGTGTTAATTCATCATTTGTAAGTCCATGTGTTGGCCTGGAAGGATGTTCACCAAATGCTGATTGTGTATATGATTCAACAATGGGTACGAATGTATGTCGTTGTCGTTCCGGTTTTGTTGGTAATGGTGTACAATGTAACCCAAGTAATGTATGCCATCCAAATGATAATAATTGTGATCCAAATGCACAATGTTTATTCAACGATATGACCATGAAACATGAATGTCAATGTAAATTAGGATTCTATGGTGATGGTATTCGTTGTATGATGGATGAAAATGTTGATTGTAGTGTGGTGAATGATTGTGATCATAATGCAACATGTGTTATTGATCCATTAACATTAAGATATTATTGTAAATGTAATGCTGGATTTATTGGCGATGGTAAACAATGTAAAAAACATATTTCCTGTAATCAATTGAATACCTGTGATGTAAAAGCTGAATGTATATTCGATACTGTGGAACAATCATATCGTTGTCATTGTTTAGCCGGTTTTGTTGGCGATGGTTATTCATGTCGTCCATTACGTTCATGTCGTGATGATCGTTTTATTTGTGATCGTAATGCTGAATGTATCTATAATGATCATACAAGAGAATTTGTTTGTCATTGTCATTTAGGTTTTATTGGTGATGGTTATCAATGTGCACCTGTACCAAATATCGAAGGTGATTATATTCTATTCGCTCAAGGAATGAGTGTATTACGAATGCCAATCGAAATGAATGAACAAAAACCTGGTCAACCATTATTTATACGTTCAGATCAAACAATTGTTGCAATAGATATTGATTGTCTGACTGGTTTCATTTATTGGAGTGATCTGGTTAAAGGAAATCTTTATAAAGCAACCAATAATGGAACATCAGCTGAAATTATTCTTGAAGGTTATACAAATGCACCTGAAGGTATTACTATTGATTGGGTTAGTCGTAATATTTATTGGACTGATTCATTTAAACGAACAATTGAAGTTGCCAATCTTGAAGGTACATTACAGAAAACATTAATCGATACTGATCTTAATAATCCACGTGGTATTGTTGCACATCCTGGTACGGCTAAACTTTATTGGACTGATTGGAATCGTCAAACACCTAAAATTGAATATTCCGATCTGGATGGTAAACATCGTAATCTTTTAATCAATACGGAAATAAAATTACCAAATAATTTAGCTATCGATTATGATCGTGATGAATTATGTTGGACAGATGCCGGTCTTGAACGTATCGAATGTATTCATTTAATGAGTTTAATTCGTCGTGTTGTTTATGCACAAGCAAGCTATCCATTTGATTTAACTGTTTCACATCAGAATATTTATTGGACTGATTGGAAAACAAAAACTATTCATGAAATCAATCGTAATGGTGGTATACCAAGAACATTAGACATTCCAATGGGTGGTTATGGTTCATTATATGGTTTGGTTGCTGTTCCACAACATTGTCCAAGGATTTCAAATGCATGTGCTGTACGTAATGGTGGCTGTAAACATCTTTGCCTACCAAATGATCATGGCCGATCATGTGTTTGTCCGGATAATGCCTATCATGAGGATGATATTTGTAATGAAATTTAATTCAATCACTATTCAACACAAACATTTTTATTTGAAAAAAAAATTTACACAAAAAAACCTTTTAAATCAGAAAAAATATATCTTACAATCTCATTCAATCTAATACATTGTGTTTTTCATTGAAAATCATTGATAAAAATTTTGTTTCTTTTTGAGAAAAATAAAGAGTTTTTTTGGATACAAAAATTAAATCATCTTCCAACTTTACCAAGTGTTGAATCAGTTTTAGGATTTGCCGTAACCGATTGAACCTGTACAATTGCATTGTTGATTTCGGTCTGTAGATCACGTAAATCTTTAATGTAAAGTAAACGTAAAACATTAGCACAACGATTAACAATTTTATCATATTGAGATTTTTTTGAAAATTTCATATTCAAAATTGTTTCATCAACTTTGGCAATCATTTTCTGTTTTTTATTATTATTAATGTTTTGTTCAGGTTCAATATTTCTTGATGATTTTCGTAATTTACATAATAATATAGCGATAGCCCGTAATGTAACCAATGGTTCATCATCATAGAATGGTACATTCAATAATTGTGATAAAGAACGTAATTCTTCAACAAATTCAGGTGAACTAATATCAACATCACCGAAATCTATACCCGAAGGACCTTGATCAAGATTAATCATATCGGAAACATCACCGGGTGACATATGCATCTGTGTACGAATATCTTCCATTTCAAAACGTAATGCTAAATTCAATAGAAAATCAATGGCAATTTTTCGATCATCACGTGGTCCTTTATAATTAATTTCATTCAAATATTTAGTATATGATTCATTCCAATTATCCGATCCGGCCATCAAACAACCACGATCATTCGGTGGATAGAAACGAATCTTCATACTTTCAAGCCAATAGATAATGTTCTGGAATTCAGATTCATCTAAATCATGATAAAAAAAATCATCATTATTAAATAATTTCGAAAAAATAAATTACCATCAACATTGATCGATGGTCGATCATATTGTAATGCTAATAATTTTCTTTCAAACATTTTTTTCGTTTGTTTGTTATCGGGATAATGAGAAAATTACAAAAAAAAATTCGGTTATTCGGAAAAAAAAATGCGACATGAAAATAAAAACAATGCTTTAATGATCAAACAAATAACAGCGCCATCTATTTTGCGAGCTAAATTGTTTTTAAATCCATTATTCTTGACACTAGATGGTGTTTAATTTTCCAATTACAATTCGAATCTAATTGAATGAAAACATCCGATTCTAACAGAATAATGATGCGGACAACAACAACAACAAAACAACGCTTTCAATTGCTTGGCATAATCGTCATTTTTGTTGTCCGAAATAAATTTCATTTGGCTGAAGACTTTATCATCATTTCAATAGAAATTCTTAATTGACTTTTTTTCAGTAAAGAAAAAGAAAATGTCATTATAATTCTTATTGTTCCATTGGCTGGTCGTTGTCGTTGTTTTGACTTTTTCAAAAACTTTTCATTTTAAAACGATGATGATGATGATGATAATGATTGTCATTGTCGATGATGATTTTCGATAGTTTTCATCCATGGATTACATCATTTGGGTCTTTTTGTTTTCTCTCAAATGATACAAAACAATTCGATTAAAAGTTTAGTAGTTTGTAACTAAACTTAACAATAGTACATCACTACCATTACTATGGATGAAAAGTTATCATCAACATCATTATCAAATATGGTTTTTTGTTTTGTTTTGTTGACTAATCATGAAAATTAAACCCTTTCCGAAAATAAATAACACAGAATTCATTTCCCTGGTCATTTAAAGTTAATTTTCTTATTCTGTTTATAAAATTCTTGGATTTGGATTTAGTCTGTTTTGTGCGACAAAAAAAAAACAAATCACATTCATTTTTAATGTAAAAAACAAAAAATTCCAATTCCGTAGTTGGAATTGATAGAAGAAAAAGAATATTCAACTTTCAATAACAACAACATATGAATGATTTAACAAGATCGATCGAAAAAAAGTGGGATTTTTTCCAAATTTTTTTTCTTCTAAATTGCATTTTTACGAATATTTTACTAACAAACACACATATGATGAATCAAGGTGATGGTTATGAATTTCAACCAGAAATCGAGAATAGTAATGGTTGAAAATTCATTCTTTCCTGGTAACAACTTGATTAATTCTTATTCGATATTTGTTGTTGTTGCTGTTGTTGAACAATTAACAACAACAACAACAACAACAGCATTTAAAAAGTATTTTTGATGATCATTAATTCCTTTGGAAAGAGAGAAAAAAACGAATAAAGAATAGAATTTCATATTTTCTTTCTCTACTATTTTATTTTGATTCTAATCATCATCATCATCATTATCGAAATGATTCGTTAAATCCTAAATAAAACACCAAATAAAACAGTTCCATTTACACTGTTAAATCTAGAAGAAAGAAGAAGAAGAAGAAGAAGAAGACTTGGACTTTGCAAACGAAGAAACTAAATAATAATAATAAATAATAAAAAAAAATCAAAGAATCAGTGTTGCATTCATTTCATTTCATTTCATGATTTTTTTCTTTTTCGCCAACATTCATATAATAACAATCATTATGATGATGATGATGATATTAGACTGGAGAGAAAGAAAGAAAAATAAAGAATTCTTCATTGAAGAATTGTATTTATTATCATTTATTATAATGAATAAAATATACACACACATAGACACCCTGTATATTTATTTATGTGAATGTCCAAGATTGGTAAAAAAAGAAAAGAAAAAAAAAGAGAAATTAAGTAAAATGAATGAAGCATCATTTGATGCGGATGATGATGATGATGCTAAATCAAATATTTGTCCATAGGCATATATTCGATGTTCCAAACCCAAAAATACCAAAACACACACACAGCAGACAGTTCATTATCGTTTTTCGTTTCGTTTTTTTCTAAGTAAAACCAACAACAGCAACCAACAACAACAACAAAATATTAATTTGATTCGTTACTTGTTGTCATCATCATCATCGTCGTCGTTATTGTTGTTGATTTAATTTTCATATTTTTTTTCACTTTTGAACCTTTTTTTTCTGGAACATTTTCCAGGAAGTTTTTTTTCATTTTCATTTTCATTTTCATTTACAATCTTTTTTTCCCGTGTGCGTGTCTTGTGATTCTCTATTAGATTGGATAAATTCTTTCTTTGTAAAAAAAAATATTCTTATTATTTTTTTTGCTGATCAAAATGAATAAATGATACTAATTCTTGAGATTCTTGATGCTGTTGTTGTTCATAACGAAATTCATTTTATTCAAATAGAAAATGAAAATGAAATCAAGAATAGAAAATTCATAGAAAGATGTTTTCTCTCTTTGAATACATTTGTTGATGTTTTTCAAGAAAAGCATCATCTACATATATATTACAGGATCTTTTTGTTTGTTTGTTTGATTTCTTTTACTGAAATTCTTTAAGAATTTAAGAATACAACATAGACAACAACATTTGAAACATTAAGATATTTGATCTGTACTTGGTTTTGGGTTTTTTTTTTGGTACAAATGATGATGATGATTATAAATTCAAATATATTCATCACATCACACCAGAAACAACCAAAAAAACAACAAGACAAAAACATTTTTGTTTTTTGAATGAAATTTATTTATGAAAAAAAAGAAAATCTTTTTAAAATATGAACAGAACATAAGACAAGGAAGAAAGAAATTCAAAATTCTATGCAGGTAAAAACAAAAAACAAAAAACTATAAGACAATTATGTCAAGGTATTATTCAATGGTAACAAAACAGATATTTTCTCATAATGTGTGTGTCTATGGATGGATTTTTCGTCGTTGTCGTTGATGTTTAGCTGAAAAGTTCAATTTTTTTTTTTTTGTTGAAAATTTTGATCTTTGGCTTTTTGGAAACAAACAAAAAAAGTTTTTTCTCTGTTCACTTTTCATTTGTTTGTTTTTTTCGGAATAAATTCTTGGCGGAAATTTTTCTCCAGTCCGTCCCATGAATTTTCACATAAACAAAAAATTTTTCCACTGCATTTTTTCCATTCGTCTTTTTTTTCATTATTCATTGAAATTTAAATTTTTTTCTTGCTTGCTTCAATTGGAATTTATTTATTTATTTGAGTAGTTTTTTTGTTTTGTTTTTGGTAGCAATGCAAATGTTTGTTGAATTGGGAAAAAATTGGGACGGTAAGGGGGGAAAGAAGTTGGTTAATTTGAATTTTTATAAAATTTCGCTTCTTTCCCCTTTTTCTCCACAAAGTATGGCCTTTGGTTGTTCATCGATTCATTTGGTTCTGTGAATGTGAATGTGGTCACTTTTTTTTAGATAGTCAATGTTTGTTCAAGAAAATGTTTATTTTAGTAATGAAAATTTTAACGCAAAAATCAAATAAAATTACAGTCGATTTTCAATGAACTTATTGCATAATCATCAGTAATATGCAAAAATTTGGCGGGTCAAATTTTCATTTCAAACGTTTTAAAAGAAAAAAATCAATTTCTTTCAAACAAAAATTTTCTTCATTCTTATTTGGTGTGATCCAATTTGATCAATATTCAGTATATGTGTGTGTGTGTGTGACAAAGTGACAAAGTCAAATAAATTCTTCAGTTTTTACTCTCAGATCTCCGCCTACACCATCATCATTTTCATAAGAAAATCTTATTTAAATTTTTTTTTCATACAAAAAAATTGCTGTGAATTTTTCATTTCATCACATCATCATCTTTTTTTTTATATGCTTCAATTCATTTTAGACGAATTCTGCTGCTGCCACTATCATCATCCTATGATGATATTAAATTGAATTGTTTAAGATGTGCAGAAGAAGAAAGAATCTTGGACTTTTTTTTTCTTGGCTAAATCTTTGAATCTGATTCTTGTCACCATCATCATCATCATCATCATCATCATTTTACTGTCAACTCTCTCTCTCTCTCTCTCTCTCTCTCTCTCTCTGCGTAGTTTTTTTTTTAAACTTTTTTTGTTT